TAATAACAATAACAACAACAACAACAACAATATATGCTTCAAAATTATTATGCTGGGGCTCGTAATAGAATCTTACCGCCATCTGTGAGCCGACTGTTTAGAAAACGTGGGAGCCTCGACGTCTCACAACCCTATGAGCCTTCATTGCCTGTTACAGGGATAGCTTTACTTTACTTACTTTCTACTGGACTAATATGAAGAAATGTCTCGACAAAACAGAACTCCACTATGCCGAGTTTGATCTAAAGCGGCAATTACCTGTTGCAAGTAAGATGAGACGAAACTGAAACCTTCTAAAATGAGCAATATCCATCTGAAATAAAATAACTTTCGTCTGAAATAAAATTTCGTGTAATCCAGTGATCATTTAGGCTTTTAATTACCCATTAGGTCATCCGAAAGAATAAAATACAATATTTTTATGCGAAGAGTAATTCATTAAAATTTGTTCAATACAGTTGATAACGGTGAAAACACGTTCATTTTGGCAAAAATGCTTACAATTCAGGACAAGGATATCAACTTAAAACAGAAACGTAAGATAATATAACTATTTTTTGCAAGCATTCTGATACTATGTGATGATTAAGGATGATGAGCTGAATCTAGAAGTGGTGGGGGTTCCAGAAACAATCATCATTGCAGTTGAGAAGGTTCTACAGGCCTAAGAAACTTTCTCGAAGATATATTTAGTTATTGGTATAGGGCACTCTGAGCTGTGTGAAGGGATGTGGCTGAACGGGGTTGTATCTCTATTGATTTGATATATGTATTCAACATGTACTTACGCAATTACAAAATATATGTATCGTTTGTGTTTTAACTGGATTTAATAATTATTATTAACACGATCTTTATCGAAAAGTTTTCAAATCCCATAATTCCATAAACTTTAAACCCAGTCTCCATACACTATGATGTCCCATGCTAATACTGGATACATCTTCATTGGTTACTGGAACTGTGCGCACAACTGCATCTGTCCATACACTATGATGTCCCATGCTAATACTGGATACATCTTCATTGGTTACTGGAACTGTGCGCACAACTGCATCTGTCCATACACTATGATGTCCCATGCTAATACTGGATACATCTTCATTGGTTACTGGAACTGTGCGCACAACTGCATCTGTCCATACACTATGATGTCCCATGCTAATACTGGATACATCTTCATTGGTTACTGGAACTGTGCGCACAACTGCATCTGTCCATACACTATGATGTCCCATGCTAATACTGGATACATCTTCATTGGTTACTGGAACTGTGCGCACAACTGCATCTGTCCATACACTATGATGTCCCATGCTAATACTGGATACATCTTCATTGGTTACTGGAACTGTGCGCACAACTGCATCTGTCCATACACTATGATGTCCCATGCTAATACTGGATACATCTTCATTGGTTACTGGAACTGTGCGCACAACTGCATCTGTCCATACACTATGATGTCCCATGCTAATACTGGATACATCTTCATTGGTTACTGGAACTGTGCGCACAACTGCATCTGTCCATACACTATGATGTCCCATGCTAATACTGGATACATCTTCATTGGTTACTGGAACTGTGCGCACAACTTCATCTGTATGTAGGACTATCAACGATATTCCATTTGCAGTGTGGGCAGATACCAATAGGAACAGTTTAGCTATATAATGCTTGATTACTCTTAGCGACCGAACAGAAGAGGTAATAAATTAGGAATATATAAGTCACTGCCAAAGACTTCGGTGTCGACTGGTAAACTAGTTTAAGGTCAACTCAGCTGCACATGTTACAAGCGATTGTCATCAAATATAATGAACCGCTGGCCTTGAGAGATAGCAGCAAATAAGCCACTGACGGAATCGTCACTCCAACAAGGTGGCTATGTGTCTATCCTCACGTCTGTACTTTCCTCTGTTCCTCAGCTATAATATCCTCAAAACTCTGATATTATAGCATTCCACTAGGATTTGTGGATTAATCTTTGTGCTTGCCCATCTAAAACCTAACTCATTAGCACCTTTCTTACAGTTCATAATCTCCCCTTAAGTCCGATTGAATGGAGTAACTTGGCATGGATTTTTATTGGGGTTAGATTTTGCTTGTCGGAAGTGGCGGCTCGTAGCTAAAATTAGTGGGGGTGCTGCTCCAGAAAATTTGTAGCCTTTGTTTTAAAATTGTATAAAAGGAAACAAACATGTATAAAAAGAAAATTTATTCAGAAACTTGATAAAATCCTAAAAGAACAAAATCAAACATTTTTTACTTACTTTAACCTAAATTGTTACAGTTCAAGCTTAATCTATTCATTTAAAAATGAAATCCATTCTTTTTAACCTTTATATTATGCTCATTGATTGAAAGTCTGTATGCCTCACTAAGTTTCTCCTTAATACTTACGTTTCCTAAAAGTGACAGTGAAACTGCTTTATCAACGTGGTTCTTTGACTTCTCATGCTTTCAGTTGTTTCTTTCATTTTGTTTATATTTCTAAAACTATCTTTTGTCCAC